TGGAAAAAATTAGAAGCTCTGTTCTGATTAATGGACTGATTACTGGAGCATCTCTGTTCTATCGCAGCCTTCATCTTTTCCTGCTTTACTTCACAAAACAGCGGCGTTGACCGCGCGCTGCGGTCAGAGACAGAATGCTTTCAATACAGCACAGATCCTAATTAGTTTGGCTTCTGGAACATTCAATTACCATCCAACTGAGCACATTGAGTCAGCGAGGTTCAGCCAGTGCACTGCGATGATGAAGGTCGTCAAACTCCATTCATTTGTACATTCAGCTAGTTTTCATCAAGGCAGCCGCAGCAAACCTGAAGTTTTACCTTGCGAAAGACGTTTTAGGTTCGCCGGTGGAAAAGATTTCATGACGAAGCGGCTGCTTTGGCGCCGCTTTCTAACTTCGCGTGTTCTGGTAACGGTGCGGATCGTTTTCGTTTTAAATTACCGTGAAAAGAGAGAGAGAAACTATGAGAACTGAACAAAACAATTTTTTATTTTTTTGTAACAGTTCCATTTCAGCTTGAGAACAACCTCTCAGTGCATTTCATGCTTCAAGATGTCTCTTTCTGAAGAGAGTAACACAGAGTCCCGTTGGCAGAAGTGCAAAACCTCTAACTGTGGTAGCCGATGAACATGAGTGCTTCTGCTCCGTTTTTTGTATGTATCCAATAACAACATTAAGGCTAAAATAAATAGTCAATGCTGCAAATATTTACTCTCCACAACATTGATTTATTTGCTAAATAAAGTCTTTAAAACTTCAAAAGTATTGTGATTGCTCTTTCAAATATATATATATATATATATAAAAAACACCTGCCTCTTTTTTTTCCTTCTTTTGGTTAAAAAATAAAATCAAATCTGTGAAACCAGAGACTGTTCCAGCTCTGCTTTGCAAAAGACAAATGTTCCTTCAAGACAAAGTGAATTTAAGATTAAAAAAAAAAAAAAAACTTTTGTAGTTTCCAACATTACAAAAACGCTCAGCAGCCCTCCCGCTCCTCTCCCTCCTCCTCAATTTTCCGCCTCCTGCAGCTCTCTCCAAGTTTCTGAGATTCAACGCAGCGGGTTTCATTTGTGTGAGCCGTCTTTAAAAGAACAGGCTCACATGTTGTTCAGAACTTTTGTCTCCTCTCTGATATCCAGCTTTATAATGAACGCCAACTGAAGTTTTCACACTATGAAACTACATCTTCAAAACACCGAATCAATACAGAAAAGAAAAACTTAAACTAACAGAGATTTAGGATTTTGATTCATTCGTTTGAAGTTCCTTCATTTTATTTCTTAAATCTCTCAAACAAATCATAGACCGCTCAGAGTTTCTTTTGTTGGTATATTTTGCATACATAATGTAATTTATAAAACATGACCATAGAAGAAAAATAAGCTATGTAATAAATAAAAAAAAAGAGCAGGACGCAGCTTTTACCCAGAGAGGAGGAAATGGCTCCTTTTTCTTGTGGTAGATTGATCCACATTTCAATCATCCACATAAACATTCAGAAAACTGCCGTCAGTAAAAAGACAAGTCTTGTTTTCTGAACCTCAACCAAAGAAAAACACCAGAAAGAACTGTAAAAATCCTGCTCTTGGTCTGCAAAGAAACATTATTTTCTTTTTCAGCACAAATTCTGGAGAAATAATTTCTGAAAAGTTGTTGGAATAGCTACTAAATTTTCCACACGAGCCATGTGACTCAATTCAGTAAACAGCTGCCGAGCCACTGAGCCCTCAGACAGGGAGACTTAAGGTATTAGATGACCAAGTCCTACCATCCACCTACAAAGTTGGCCAGATCAGAGAGGATATGGAGCAGCTTTCTGTATCCTAAAGGGTTATAATAACAAGACATTCAGCACCAATTTATACACACAGTTAAATGCTCCTTAGAAAAATCCCACTCAACCACACACTCCTGCAACAAGCTTCCGGCATCATTCTTGCTGGATATTTGACCAATTTTCTATAAAAAAGTGGTATAGTTAGTTTAAACTAGTTGGTTTCCTGCCATGGACCTGGCTTTTAAAACCAGTTCACAATCTTTCAACAGGGCAGAAGTCTGATTTTTGAAGCTTAATCTCATTTGGGTTTATCCTGTCCAAAAGCAGTTTGGATGTACGTTTGGGGTTTAACTCGTTCAAAACACCAAAACGTGTTCACGTTCCAAACCATCTTTGCTGTGGATTTGAACTGAAGTTGAAGAATTGGGAGGCAGTGAGTTTTCATTACAATGAAACGCCTGATATTCACAGAGGTTACAGACATAAAGCTAAAATCTGTGAGCACTTGATATCCCCTTAAAAATCCTTATAACTGTCAATTTGAATAGTTCAAAACCAAGTAGATATGAACAGACACAGTGGAAACCGACTCCAGGGTCAGGCTGCTTTGCAAACACCTGCCACTAGTTTTAAGTAGCATTTATGTCCCAGAAAAAAATCTGGGTGAATGCTAAACCGCAAAAAGCTACTCAACACAACTGTGCAAGTGGTAGTGAAACCGACCGACTGCATGATGGTGCCACCAGCATGCTAACAGTAGTTCCTCTTTGACTCTTCTTCTCTGGCTTGACCCGTCCGATCATCAGACTTTTGCCCAGAATTCGGTTGACTGTTCCACGTGGGCAGCTGGAGCTTTCAGAATAACTTGAAGATGCCAGTTTTCAAGCTCTCGCGTCATTTCTTGGTCGGCACTCTCTCAGATTATTGTGTTATGAAAATGTATCCACTGTGGACAATGACGCTGGTGTTCCAGCAGTTTCCATTCATGGCTGAGTTGAGCTCTGTCGTTTCCTGGGTTGGTCTTCTCTGTCCTCCTCTTACAGATCTGACTGAAAACATGGTAATGGAACCTAAAGTTGTTTACAAGAGTTTTTACCAATCCGTACAAATCCACTAGAAAAGATTTTCAGGTTCGGAGCATGCAATTATTTCAAAAATCGGTGATCTAATGAGTGCCGCATAAGAAATTCTTCTCGTCTTGTATAAATAAACTCTCATTTGAACATTCAATAACCAGAAGGTAACATGCTCTGATCTTGTAAGTTCAAAATTCTGTTCAGTAACACAAAACAAATTAGGGCGAATGCATATATTCAACTCTATAATTCCAAACGTCTTTGCAGTTGTATGTTGTATCATGGCTCAAATTAAAAGACCAAATTCATATGATGAGCAGACTGAAACCTCAGATATCTCCAGCTAACAAAATATGTTTCTGCCAATTTGCTTCCCACACAGACCAGCATGTTCGCTTTACTAAAACATTTATTCTACTCAACTCATTTTGATTCATTTAGGAGTTAATGAGCTTTAAGAGCAGGATATTTTCACATTGTTTTGCACATCAGGAAGTTATTTCTGAAATATTCTGCATCTTCATGCTCATCTTCTTTGCTTAGTGCTAAACTGCATGACGAAACAGAGATTAAAGGACACCGAATTAGCAGCTCAGAACTTTTCCTTACAGTCTCTACAATATCTGCAAATTGAAAATCCTCAAAAAACTGAATTATTAAAAACCTGTAACACATATGATGTGGCTCTCACCGCTGTACCTAACCTAAAGTCCCAACCCAGAAAAAAAAAAAAAAGATACTAACCGCACCAACTGAATTCAAATCTCATTCATGATGGAATTAATCTATTTATGTCAGACAAGATATTGTAGTAATAATTTCCAAATCGCTCTTCAACGGGACACTTTTATAAAATAATTTCAAGCTCCTTCTCAAGGATCTGCTTCGTCTCCAGACAAGCCAATCACGTCACCCCAATCTTTCCCAAAAATAGTTTTTAATCTTCTCTTATGAGAATCTTCACACCAGCTCAATAACTTTAGTGTTTTCTGACATTTAATAAGGCTGCTATTTACCCTCAAATTTACAGTTTTGATGGGGCAGAAATGTCAGGCTCTGCTAATGATGTTCCAAATGTCATTATGAGCTGGAGACGGAGACACAGAGCCTGACATGCTGTTGTTCTGCGAATGATGGGGTTTCCTTCAGAGATACAGACATATTTTGAAAAATGTGTCTGCTGCACATGAAACGAAGGTGTGACATTTTTCTCTGTCTGTAAAGTTTATAACCAATAAAAACATAACTTCCCCCATAAAATATATATTTTTTAATGCATGCATTACATAACACGCAACTTAAACACATTGTCAGCTGGAGCTGAAATGTTTCCTGAAGTCAACATTTCCTGATGACTTCAGGAAAATTTTCCTGAAGTCATCACATGTGGACTGCAAAGACACAAAATCTAAATAATCTCACTATCGCTCAGACTATTCACAGTCTGTGTAATGACATGTAATAAGATTAGCTCATTTGTAGAGCTGTTTATGCTTCACTTCCACTTCTTCGACCTCTAACCGCACCAAGCTACTGCATCTTCACTTGTCACGTTAACTCAATTTTCTTTCTGGCAGACACATCATCTCTTCATCAGTTATGCATTCCTAGATTCTATGTTGTGTAGTCTAATTAAAACATGTCTGAATCGGGGTGCTGTGGTGGCGCCGGGGTTAAGCGCAGGCCTTAGTCCTCGACACGGCCGTCGCAGGTTCGATTCCCGCCCTGGTGACTTTTTCTGCATATCTTCCCTCTCTCTCAGATTACCCTACTTTCCTGTCATTGCACTTTCAAATAAAAGCCCCCCCAAAAAACTTAAATAAATAAATATGCCTGAAAAATAAATGCTAGCAAGCAAATATCAGAGAAGAAGACAATTAAAAGTGATGAGTGAAAGTAAGAGAATTCTGGAGGAATTCCAGTGAGCAGCTTGAGCTTAAGCTGTGACCTCTGAACCCTCAGGCAGAGCATCAACGCTCCATTCACTGTAACCAAGCAATCTTCAATACCAGAGATCTGCTCTTGTGAATATTTAAGACTTTAAAACTATTAAGACAAAATCTGAAGATTGAAGATAAAAAAGTCCTGAAGAGATTCAGATGTTTGCCGCTCAGAAAACAGACAACAGAAAAGCGCAAGTTACCGTATGGCGTGGTCCATGCGTGACACGGTGAGGTACGCCGCCAAGTTGGCCGTGTACGACGAACACACGATGAGCGTGAAGAGCCACCAGCTGCCCATGACGATCCGCAGCGCCACCGAGCCGACCATGCCGTCACCTCCTGCGAAGACACGCGCGGCACACGGAGAAGGAGGAGGGAGGTCAGCGGTCAGGAGGGAGGGAGGTCAGCAGTCAAAATCTGAACATGGATACTTGTGAGAGGTTTCAGGGCGAAGACACGCTAAGCATCAAGTGGAAGGTGACACAGGTGTTCGGGGGAAACGAGGCGCCAGGTACCAGGCCGGCCACCTCTCATTGACCGCAAAGGTCGAACAGAGAGAGGTGCTTTATCACTGCAAGCACAGAGCCGGAGTCTAATCACAGCCGTTGGTTCAAAAGGTTTCCCAGGCAACCTGCCAGACCATAATAGATGCATCTGGGAGCCTCTGCTGTGAGATTCTATGCGTGTGTCTCTGTGTGAGAACATGTGTACGGTTTGTTTCTGCCTCTGAGTGTCGGTCTGTTGCTGGGTTGATATTTCTACCTCTGCCCTTCAGGTTAGAAATGTGAAGCTGGGACTTGGGGTGGATGAAAAAGACAAAAAAACAATTCAAAATCTATTTTGAGAATGTGACAAGAATGCTGAATTCTAAAAGACAGACGCCTTCTAAAATAGTTTGCAAAGTTATTTTCTTGTTTCCATTCGAAGCAACAATTCACACCCAATAAAACGTCAAATGTGAAAGAGAAATTCAAAGGGAAATCTCGGGAAAGTGAAGAGTGCAAAACACAATTCGGCTCCCCAAACTTCAGAAAGTTTTTAGTACAATATTATACCTTATTTGAAAAGGAAGCAAAATGGAGCACAAACATGCTGGTGAGAGAGAGTTAATGCCAATCACATGCACGTCCTTTAGTCATGTGACAATTTACTACCATTCTGGTTAGGATTCATTGGACGAACATATTGACGTCTTAAAGCTAAAGTTTCCAGACGCCCACAAGTCTTTTTACGTGGGTCTGATTCTCGGAAGGCGTGATTAAAAATAGGACGTCTGTATCTTTAGACTTATGATTGCAGCTGCAAGGAAAGTCATCACAAAGAACTGAAAAGAGAGACTGAATGTAAAACAATGGATAGAAACACAGGAAGAGACTTACAACATGGAGTCGCTGACATTTATGCCAGATTTTTGAAGCATGGTCAAATCTGTGATGCACTGATGCTTTTAATGCCTTACGCTGTGTATAGAATATCGTTGTTAAAGTTAGCTACATTTCCCTGTGCAAAAGCTGTGTTCCTGTGTCTCCACGTAAAAATTTGTTGTAAATGCCTTATGTATATCTGCCAGGGCCGTTCCACTGTTTCATTCTTTCTTTATTGTTTATTCGAATGAGGACAAGTGTCAAGTATAAACAAATACCAAATAATAGCTTTAGCTAGCTCGTGACGTGTAGCCAGACGGGCTTTTAAGAACATAAAACAACTTAAAGACACTAAAAACACCACAGCAAGTTAGTTTGAAAGTTTAAAACAAGTACTTCTGTCCTTTAACTAACAGTGGGAACTTCATGCTCACCTTGCTGAACAAATGCTCCATAAACAATCCAGATGGCGCTGTGCAGCGTGCCCGAACCCACTCCGTTGGACAGATGGCCCGGTGGTGCATTCTGGGAGGAGGAGCAGGAGGAGGAGCGCAGAGCCTGCAACCTGTTGAGTAGGAAGATGAGCACTCCCACCACCGGGATGGCGGCTGCGATGCAGGCCCACACGGCCAGGTCGAACGGCGCAAACAGGGAGAAGATGTTGATCTTCTCTTCGGGTTTTCGCAGCAGGATGCCGACGCTGTAGTCAAGGTAGCGCTTGCTGAAGTCGACCACGTTCTCCCTCTCCGGCGTGATGGTAATGGCCGACACGGCGAGGTCGGCTCTCTGCAGGAACAGAGGAGGCAACGGGACAAAGATGGACGTCGAACAACTACGTCAGCTTTCAAAAGGAGGTGACTTAACGATGGGAGCATTGATAGGTGAATTTAATCTGTGCACTTCCACACTGTGTGTGTTTATTTCAGAGTTTAGTTTTACCTTGTTGATGAGATCCCCAATCATCCCATTCCAGGAGCCGTTGGGAAGCTGAGAGCCGTATTTGCTGTCTGCGACCTGAGTAAAATAGTAAAACAAATATTTAGATTTTTTTTTTTTTTTCCAGTAAAACCCTTAGTCAAATAATTTAGAAAGAGCTCAGCAGAAAGGAAGGAAGAGACTAACCAACCAACTAATGAACCAACAATCAAGCCAAACAACCAAACAATGAGACAATTGGATATGGCTGGAAATACAAATATTTCCCAATCATTCTCCACACCTGAAAGAAACTAAAGACAGACTTTTCCGGACTGCTCTGGAACCCTGTGATACATATAAACATTTATTTATTTTAATATAATGGTTTCCCATATTTGTGTACAAACACTTTTGAAAATCAGTGCTTTTGAACCTGGCTTTACATTCACCTTTAGTCACTTTGCGTATTGCGTACATAAAATAAACTAATGCAGGGAGTTGTTGTTTACCGCTTTGTCCAGCTGTCTTTTTCTTAACCTGGTCGGCATTAAAGTGGCGAGCTTGAAAACTCGGGAGGAAATTGTAACATCAATTTAGTCTTAATGCAAAATGCGGTCTTCAAGGAACAAAAAAAAACAAAACAAAAAAAAAAAACACATTTTGCTTTCAGATTTCCCTGGAGGTTCTTTCACTTTGATTTCTCTTAAATTATTTTTTGCATAAAGGAAAAGGAAATATCCCCCTCCTTACTTTTTAACTAAAACCTGAGAAGATTTATGAATTTTTCCATCTCATCTCAACTTGCTTGAACTTGTCGTTCTCTTTTTATTTCCTGAAATTACTTTGTAATACAAAATATTAATGGCTGGCTTCGGGGAAAAGCCATTTTTTCCTCCCTTCCCTCCCTTTACCAATCCAGTTAAATAGTCTCACTAATGCAAGTTCTGCATTTGCACATTTGAAATGTGTGAAAAAGCTAAAAGTCGCTGCAAGTCTGCCTCATAAAACATTAAACTTAAGCAGAAAAACAGCTGGGTGTGAAGCTCAGTCTGACCTGGTAGATCTCATATTTAAAGCCCAGGATCTTCGCGAGGGCGTCCAGGACGTCGATGGAGAATCCTTTATATCTCTTGGGCTGCCCGAGGATGTTCTCTGCCACCATGACGAAAGGATCCTCCTGCAGGAAGCCAGTTGGAGAAAGGAGGGGGTGTTAGTGAGGATAAAAGTCGCAGCGTGAGGGAGGCTTCGGCTTCACAGTAAGAGTGGGAGTTAAAGGAACTTCTGTCAGGCTGAAGGGAAAACGCGACGGCTACTGTAAGGTCGGGGTGTCTGAGGGGGTCGTCTTGTGCCACCGTGGCAGTTGGTGTTAGTGTTTCTGCTCGGCAGCACCGACACCTGGAGGTGCTGCAGCAGCAGGCGCTGAACTGCGGGGAGGAGGCATTAGTCCTGCTTGGTTAGACATGCGACTCGTTGCAGCTTAGGCAGAAGTGGGGACCTGGAGCGGCGGCCTGCTGTTGTTGTTGGATCACAGACGTAAAAACCCTCGGTTGTGCGTACCCCTTAAACTAATCGCACGGAACGAGGCGTCACTGAAGCCGAAGTACGGGATCGACGCCTTGACAAACAACGTGTTGGGAGTGGAAAGTCTGACTGATCTGAAAAACTTTCCAAATAACAAAAATTGCCAGCAAAAGTTAGAATTCCTCATGAACTATGGGAACTCTGATCACTTTGATCAGTGAAAAGTAATATGTATGGTGAGTTTTTAAACAAATATATAAGACAAACATCTAAAAAGTAACAATGTAGCTTTAAGGCATTTTTACGTCTTATTCCAGTGGGTCCTTCAGTTCTAACCGAGTGACACACAGTCATGCTCTCAAAGACCCTAAAGACAAATTTGTTGTAGAAGGTAAGGAATCTAATATGAGCACAAACGTCTCATTTCAACCGGTCAGCATGGTGGTGAAACCCTGGTTATTTGAGACTTGTTCTCCTAATACAGAACCTGGTAACATTTAATTTAATTTATTTAATTAAACAATGCTGAAAAAATATCAAGATCTTATTATGATGGTGACCAAGTCAACACCACAACGTGTCAAAGCGCATAAAAGAGATAAACAATAAAATAAAGCCACAGGTCGATAATTTGGTATGCCAGAGGTTTACAGTGACACAGAAAACCACCGGTGAGAGTTACTGCTGCTAATTGCGGACACATGTTATAATATTTGTGTTCTTATTTTTCCAAACTAAGCAAACCTAGTAGAAGATCAAGTCAACTCCATGCACGTCACTTACCAACAGAGTGACCACTTTAACCGTCAGCCCTTGCATCCCGTTCTCTATGCGACTCTCCTTCAGGCTGCCGTTCAGCCCGTGAACCGAGTCCCATGTCGCCAGCTGCAGAGAGGACGGAGAGAAAACAGCTCGTAAACAAAAAGCGTGCAATTCTCAGGCATTGGCGACATCCTGCTAGGTCTAATCATGTCATTTGTTTAAGTGTCAGAGGTCCTCGGAGTTAAGAGACCACATCGTGCAACCATCAATTACAGAACACGGCGCAGAGGCTGCAATTTGACCATTTATTCACTTATCTCATTGGCTTTCATGTGGCACAGAGCTCTGCTGAGAGTCAGAGACAAAACACCGAAAATAAGGCCAAAAAAACATCAAGAGACATCCGTGCAACGTGCCAACAACCCACTCTGCTGTTCTCCCATCAAACACAGTCATGCACCAAGCAAACCTGACCTAGTTAGGTCTTATATATCCTCTGCCCTGTTCAACCACCTAATCAGGGAAAGGAACACAGTATTAGGCTTTATTGAGTCCAGTCTGTATGTGGGGAAAAAGAAATAACAATGTGTCTTCCTGCAAATATAAAAGAAAAAAAATCTTTTTCATCTTTGGCAAATTGTGCTGAGTTTTCTCTGAAAGTCTCTACTACAAACTGAACCTACAGGGTAAAAAAAAACAACATTATAAATGTAGAAAAATTGTAAATGCAGAAAAATTATAAAAAATTACTACCAATACCCTGACTGTCAAGAGTTCCAATCAGCCATAAACGGTGCTGTTACTGTTTATCGCAAGTTTTCAGTTTCCTACCCCGACATATGGCAAGTTGAGCGCAAAGTCTTTGCTAGTTCACTACAAAAACAACTTCATGCCAGAGCTGGAGGCTAGCTTATCAAGACCAACAACTAAATCAAACAGTTTATGTCTGAAACACCAGTGTTGACCTCACATCACATATATGCTCATCAAAAGACTATAAAACTATAAAAACAGGATGTTTCATGCCACACAGTCAATAAATCTTGGTGCCAATAGCTTTGCTGTGTTTTTATAGAACTAGCTTAAAACTAGCATCACAAGTTTAGCTGGGATGTTGTTTGTGGCTACTGGTATAAAACCAGCTGCTGAGTATTAGTCAGTAAGAAAGGTAAAGGAAACAAAGCTAGTTTGTCTTCTTAAAAATAAGAATAATCTACAAACAAATAAATCATCCTGCTGCTGTACATCATGGACACCACCTGAGCTATGCTAACGCTCCTGCCTGTTTTTAACCAGATCCTCTCCATTAAGAGTCGACGAGTTCACACTACACAACAGAACTGTGGACGCCTTTGTTTGTGGCACTACTTATGTGTCACTCTGATAAAAAAAGACCATCTCGGTAACCATGGAAACATACAAATTCTTTTTTTTTTCCTGTGTGTGGAATCAGAGGGTTTGTTTCTAAATTAAACGTTCCACAGGGAGCTCTCACACGGGTTTATTGATTTGCCGGGACTCACACTGATGCATGTCTCTTCACCGTTTATCCCCACTGCATCCATTTAGGGCTTATGCGTGTTGAGAGCTCTGTTGTCTTTTTTTTGTTGTTGTTTCAAGACATAAAACACCTGGTTAAATACAAGGCTTTTTAAAATATATATACATATGGTGCAGGTTTAATAAATCAGTTCAGCCAAAGAAACTCCAAATACCATCAACAACATTATAAATAAAAAATAAATATGTTTTTACAGCACTGTATTTAACAACAGACAAATGCTTTAAACTTTCAGGACAAACCCTTTTCTCCCCCGCTTCACGAAGAGGCACGGCCTCGTGAAGGTGGAGGAAATCAGAGCAGACCTTTCAGGGATGCTGAGATAACAGAGAAGCGGCAAGAGTGATGGACACCATCAGAGGGAGAACTGGAGGGAAGAAACGAGGAGCGCCTCCTTATTATACTAAGAGCTATTCTCAGCACTGCTGTCCTCCGCATCATCTCCATCCATCCCTCTTCTTCTTGTGCGCGAGGAAGCGGGGGGGTGTTCCTCATTAACACGGATAATTTATCTTCTCCGTTTAAAGTCGCGATTCCACTCCAAGTCTTCCCCTCCATCCAATCTAAACCCTAAAACCATTACGGCCGCTGTCGAAGTCACAAGCGGATAAAGTACCATCAACTAAGAATGAAGTTATTATGAGAGACGCCAGTGGGACGTCTGTTGTCAGGACGACGGCGATGCAGGCTTTATAAATTTGTGATCTGCCCGCAGGTGCAGATTAGAAGAGAATTACAATTTAAGGATTTTTGCAGTCTGACTCATGTTTGACGATTTTTGCAATGTCACCTCCATAAAACACTCAAATAAATAAAAAAATGCTCCTAAATGGTGCAATTTAAAATTTAGTGTCTCCTCCTATGTTTATTAATTACAATCATTGTGCATGTAGAAGTTCCAATATCTTGCAAAGGATTTTAGAGCGCTTGATTCATTTGTGTTGAGGTTTTTTGAGTAAAACTGCTTCCTTTCATGCTTTGAAGCATGAAGTGAGCCATCTGAAACTGACTTTTTGTTTCTCTCTCTGTTGTTATTTTTTGTGTTATGACACAATCTACTTTCAACGTGGACAGACGGCACCTCTAATCCAAGTTCTTCACCAGACTAAGACCAGGAAAATGTTATTATTGCAGACAGTACTCATCTATTTATCACCTGCTATACCCTGCTGTTATTCCCACAAAACTTGTCAAGACACCAGAACTTCTGCTCCCTGAAGACATGACCACAAAACCCCTTTAGTACCCGATTAGACTACCTAGTCAGTAACTCAAAAATCCCAAATCGGTGTTATTTCGGTGACAAAGAGGCTCAAACAACACCGACGTGACAGTCTGGGCCGCACAGTAGAAGGAAACTGCGATTTATGACTCTTATAATAAAAACGTCTTGTTCTGTGCGGACTCATCAGCTGCAAATTTTATGTTGTTCTGGTTTAGGGTTAGGAGGAAAATAAAACATTCCTGTCTGCAACCATCAACAGATCGCAGCTGTGAGTACGCTCTCTGCACTTTATCCCTCAGGACGTCTGGATGCGAACACACTTGATTACACGGCTACTCTCTCTCTCCCTCTTCTTTGTCCAACGCGCCTCGCTTTATTTACAGAGCCAGTCAGGGGGTCAGTTGAGGTTAAGAGCTTATATGGACTCTTTAAAGCTAAAAGAGGGCATCACCGAACGGAGCACTCAGACCCAAACCTGTCCACTTTTTGGGCTCCTATAGGTCTGAACAAATATGATTAATGTAGCACTTTGCTGCTGAACAGGTCCTGGGATTATTTTTGTCAGCTCAGCCCAGTATGTGTAAATCTTTTCTTAATACATTTCCCAGCGCCTGCTGAACTAAGCGAAAGTGAATCAAAGAAAGTCAACATGGGAGCTAAAAACATAGCTACAAAATTGAAATCTGGCCTCTTGCAGCAACATGATTTGCCACAAGTTCAAGAAAACAGAATGTTGGAAACAAGCTAAAGTAATAAAGGTAAACAACAAACATGAACATATTCATTTCAAACGTTTTCAATTACAGCCACAAATTATTTTTAGTGGATGTTGCAGTTGAAACATTTAGAGATTGTATGTCGTAAGGATTAAAACTTTTACATTAAACTTCATTTGCTAGCTAGCCAGCAAGTCTGATAAAAAAAAACAAAACAAAAAAAAAACTCCAAGACTTTTTAGCTGAAAGCGGACTTTTAATACAACTGTCATATCACTGGTGTTAATCCACGTCTTAATCGTGTCTCGGGGCTAGAGAGAAAAGGCCATGGACTCTCGCTCAATTGTCCAAAATCCTGTTTTCACAAGGAAATGAATTTAACATTTCATTCTTAAAATTAAGCTGTCGTAGTCTGGGGGAAGTGAAGTGTGGCGAGGCAGACGAGCCAAACCCTTTCAGGTCCAGTGTGAAGTTTAAGAAGCCATGTCATTTATCTGCTGCTGTCGGCCAACCGTGTTTTATCAATTCAAAAACCCGTACACCTGCCTACGGGGAAATTTTCGATGCACTTCCCTCGGCTAACACGTTTATATAGTGATGCTGATTTCCTGTCCTGCAGGACTTCACACCTGCCTACACATCCAAAAGAACCAACAGCTCCTTTAATGGCCATGGCATCACTATGCTGGACTGGCCAGCAGACTCCCAGAGAGAATCGATGGGGTTTAGTCAGGGGGGAGGGGATAACAGACACCAGAGCCAACAATGCAGATGAGCTGAAGGCTGGCATTAAAGCAACCTGGGCGTTTTTAACACCTCAGCTGAACCACGGGCTGATCTCCTCCAGGCTGCTGCAGCGATGCTATAATCCATGTAAAACCAACCAACTGGGGAAAACATGGGCGATACATCACAACAGGCACATACACAATAACGTCTGAATTTCATGATCTCTGCATGAACTCTGAATCTTTACGATTTAAATTTTTGATTCGAATCGGACATTTTATTGATATTTTCTAGCCTGCTGAGATGGACCGACGCGCTTCAGTGTCGACGCGTGGAGCTTCGTCGGCGTCCTTTTAAAAACATATTCACGATAAAAACCTGAAAACGTCAAAAGACTTTCGATCTTTAAAAGAATAACTTGGTTTACAGAGAATAGACGAGAGGGTTTTCATCCGTTTTTCAGCAACGGGCTTAAAATTTAACGACGATCAGATTCCTGTCAGCTGACGCCTCCTCATAAAGCAGCGAATCTGAAAGTCCGTCCCGCTTCCTCGCCTGCTCCTTCTCGTCATGGCGCACCGTTCTCCCCTGAAGAGGTCAAACAGGAGGATAAATCTCCGCCTCGCTCATGCATTATTCCCGATTCCCCACTTTTCACTCAAATGTCAGGCCTTTCCTCTCCCCTCCTGTCATCCAGACGGACGGCCTGGTTGTATTTCTGTAACTCGCTCTCCCATGGACAGCAGAGGGAAATGCCAGCAATTGGCACCGTTTCTCACCCCACCTCCACCTCGAGTCCTCCCCCGCCTTTTCTTTTTTATTTCCACACTTTCACGTCCTCTTCATCCTTCCCTTTGATTGGTGATTTAAAATGACTTTTTAGAGGGTGTGA